TTTTTTTCAAAATAAGATGCCTATAGGAAGCGTACTCCGCCCCTATTGTGTGTCTCTCTCTACCTTCCAACTGTCTGCATGTATAACAGATACTTTTCATACGTAACTACACCAGCACCACCAAACATGCTGTTATTTGCTTTGACAGTTCCAAAAAGATGTGTGAGGGATGGTGTGGCACAAATAAAAGCAAGTAAACAAAGGCGCACAACATAAATACATTAGTTTAGTGGGCAAAGAGGAGATTGAATATGTGAGACAGATACAGAAAAAAATGCAGCAGAACGAGAAAAAGAGTTTTTCTATCTTTTATGAAAACAAACTCTCTTTAAGACTACCTTAAAGAATTCCTTTCTTTTTTTATAATGTCTTACAAATGCAGTAGTTTTGGCCAAGGTCAGGCTGTGTAGCATGTACAGTTTAGAGTAAAAAAAAAAAAAAAACCTGTGGAAGTTGTATAGCACACAGATAAAAGTATTACATGTTTTTACTCATGTAATTACTTTGTGCCCTGTTCACATGGTGAGGTTTAATTCAGAGCAGAAACGTCTTCAGATTCCATCAAAGCATCTGCATATAGTCACTCTCTATATTTATTTGATTAAGGGGTGGAGGGGGGAGGGAAGGGGGGGTGACATACAGTAAGGAGAGCTACATTGATGCGCGTGTATGCTGCAGGCTTTAGAGCAAAGGACTGCTGCTTGCTGTTGACATTAAGAATGCATTTGCTCTGCTTCCCACCCACAAGCTAGACAAGGAGCATCTGTCAAATGGTAGCAGACAGGTTTTAGTCTTGTGGGTTAGCAAATTAGCCCACAGTGTATCAGTTGTTTCACTGACTTTGAAAGAAATGAGAATGATTACATATGTCAGGATATGTTATTGAAAAAAAAAAAAAAGGAATAGATTTGTGGCACATTTTCACCGATTAGCCTACTACTATTACCTCGGGTTTTTAGCTATGTGATACTTAAAGAGAGTACTATGGTGCTATGACTTAAAGCAGCCAGATGAATTTAATGTTTTACTTTTATGTATGATAACCTTAAAGGAAAAACCATTTGTTAACCGTAGAAATCATTTTCTTTCACTTCTTATAAAATGTTAGGTGTGTTTAATTCTCGTCTGTATCATTTTAACTGTCGCCACTTGCCCTCCAGCCCTCTCCCGCCTGACTGTGCAGTAGGGTGGAGGCCGGAGTATGTAGTGTGCAGGCTGATTAGCATGGAAAACCACATAGCCTCCATAGGAGGGATTAGGACTGATGGGTGATGGGAGGGCACATGGGCACCGTCACAGAAAGAGAATACAGTATGAGGTTATTATAGCTGGGTAGAAAATGTATGTATTAATTTTCTCCTTTTAAAGGAATAGTTATAAGCTTAATGTAGAAGTAAGGGAAAACAGCTAGCCTGACTCTCTTCAAAGTTCAAAAATCACCCCTACATGCACCTTTTATGTTCACTAAGTTCACTTTTATGTCTGTGCCAGACCCAGCCACTTCACGGTGTCTAGGTTAACCTGCCGTAACCGCAGCTTCACCTGGTTTGTTTGACCTTTCGTTGCATACATCACCTTCCTGTCTCCTTGTTTCCTGCCACCTCTCAACTGTCTGCTATTGGATAAAATCAAAATGCCTTAAATATGCTGAAACACAAGACCAAAACACCACAATCAGTACATAAGCACATACCACAGCAGTGTGTTATGGTTTAGTGGTTACGGTTTCAACATCAATAAATATTGAACTTAAGTTACTTTGTATGATTTATAGCAGCGTGACTTCACAGCCTTTGGTCCACCTGCAGATGCTTTTGTGGCTGATTGTGCCAGCACTGAGTGATGAGTATGGTTTTCTGTGTTTGTGTGCTCGTTCCAGACTCAGAAAAGGATGATGTGGAGCTGGGAAACGGGATCGCCCAGTGGAGACTAAACGAACAGCTCTTCCCCTGTCCTGTTTGTGGCAAGGTGTTTGGTAGACAGCAGACGCTCTCTAGACATCTGTCTCTACACACAGGTAAATAAAGGCACATACACAACATCAGCTTGTACAGTTGCATCTCTTAGTTAATGTATAGATGTTAGCCGCTGTGTTTCGTGCATGTGTGCTTGTGTCTGTGTTGCCCACAGTAAGTAAATAAGGCTTACTAGACTAGATTACCCTTCCTTTAAAGAGATTACTACCATGATTAGTCTCACTGGGAAAACTGCCCGTCTAATTACCCAGCTAGAGGGATGCCTCACAGAGTATCTACACACACACACACACACACCAGTAATTCAGATGCAGCCACGATTAGTTCCCTCTTTCCCTTTCTCTCTCGCACTTACATACACGGGAGACTTCCTCAGGATGAAGCTGTACACTCCCTTGTGTCCTGATTACATTGTGTTTTCAAAGTTGGCTCTTCTTTGCCCCAAATTGATCCATTCTGCCCAATCACTGTCTTCTGCAATCCCTCTTTAGGTCCTTGGCAGAAAATAAAAAAAATGAATATCCCGCTTTAAAACAATTTTATTTAAGGCAAATGAACGCTGGATTAGAAATTAATGCAACCTACTTGAGATTGCAGACTAAATCACTGGGCGCACAAATGGAGACTCGTGTACAAAATGCCCCCACACAATTGGACATGCTCTCACATTTTGCGTGCACACACTACACGACACTCACACACACACACACACACCATCTGAGAGTGTTGGCTGTGAACAGCTTGGCCACACCACAGAGAGCAGAAGCAGGGGCATATGTCAGTGTGATGGTCTTTTTGGTTTCCCCGGCGACATAAAGGTTGCCTGGCTTCATGTCCTTGGGGCAAATGGTGTGTGTGTAAGTGTGTGTGTTTGGGGGGGAGCTAGAGGGAAAAGACATGTTGTTATGTTGATTTTGTTTTGGGATAAAAGGAAAGATTGTGTTTTTGTATTTTATTTGATTTGATGATACAGTGCTCACAAATAAAGTGAAATGATGTCCGTACATGCCACATATTTTCACCATCTTGTGGCATCCACGGCAATATTCAGGTGCTTGCCGGAAAAGGTTGATTTTTGTCAGACATCACAAGGTGTCACTTCTTCTTCCCAGGATCAGAGTTGCAGCTGGGGTCAGGCGGAGGTGAAGCAGGGTTGGGCATTAAGTAATTAGGTTTAAGCTTGCTTTAAAGGCTCGGAGGCTAAGCGCGACTTAATGAAATATCATCGGAGGAAATGTTTACAGTAACCCGAGGTCTTGTGTCTGTGTGTATTTTGTTGCAGAAGAGAGGAAGTACAAGTGTCACCTGTGTCCTTACGCAGCCAAGTGCAGGGCTAACCTCAATCAGCACCTGACCATCCACTCTGTCAAGCTGGTCAACACAGACGCTGAGCAGATCGTCAGCGCTGTTACAGCTGACTCTGCCGAGCGCAAGAACTGCCCCTACTACTACAGGTAGTAACAGCCCAAAACATACCCCTCACTGTTTTTTAGGATGTCTCAAGCCAATATCAGAGGTTGGAATGAAGGCTTTTTTTTTTTTTTTTTGACTGA